ATTTCATTTTTTTAGATACGGCCCAGTGTTCTAGTCTGTCAAGATCCATCGGGATCTTGAGCCTAACTAACATGTTGTTCATGTCTATGTGTCTATGGAAGGCTGATTGGTCAGAGTGCCAGGCTTCTAGAAATTCCTTGGTGTTTTTGGATTTGGCCTGGTCTAGGATGGTCATGTTTTCCCAATTGCTTCTGTGCTTCGGAATTGGCCCATCATGCCATTGCTAAGGCTTGTGGTTGGAGCTACAGGACAGGCTATGTTATTTTTATTTTAAAAGCAAAGGGAGGTTTGTCCCAGGGTGACTTCTCACATGACTGCTGGGGCCTATAAATAATCACTTTGCACTTCAACCTGGACAGGAACTAATAAGTGATATGGTACATGTGTGATCAGAATAAACGAGTAAAAGAGGCTTAGGGAGGAAGACAAGTACAGCAAAGGCGTCCCAGGATAATGTTGCAGGATCCAATCTGGGTCAATCAGTCTTGTTGGGAGAAAAATCCATCTGGTTCAGTTCCAATCTGGGGAGAAAGGCACTGGAAATAAAATGGAGGCTGGAGGCTTATTGGAAAGAAAGGTTCTCTTAATTGATGAAGCAGGACCACCAACCACATATGATTCTGAGATAGCTGACAAAATGGAATTTAGAGTGGGTGGATTTTTATACCTTCTGGATTCCTATGGGGGTCATGTAGGGGTCATAGCTGGCTCTATAGGCAAAAGAGGAAATGCAAATCCTAGGTGTCTGTCTGAACTAATTTTGCGAACCTTTTGTTTGTTGCTTATCTGAGTTTCTGACTTGACCCGGTCTTTCTGAATGGATTACCAAATCTGCATTTCTAAAAGCTGGCCTCCTCAGTTTCTTCTCGGGGCAGGAAAACTAGGGCTGGTTTCTGCCTCCCTTAAGATTATTTTTACATTTCTCCTTTAGGGGAAATGTAACATTCAGCCTTTTTTAATGTTTCCCAAATGTTTCACAGTCTTCTGAGCTTTCGGAATCATGCTGGAGCCCCCATCCTCAGGGAACTTCTCTCTAGTAAGAGTGTGTGCTTTGGGCTATTCTCTTGTGTGGCATTTATATGGTGCCTGTGTAGCTTTTTAGCTGTTCAACAACTAAAACAGGCACCACATAAATACGACGCATAGAAAAGCCCAAAGCACATATTCTGGCAGAAGAGAGACATCCCCTGAGGATAGGCTCGGAATCTCGGAAGACTATACCTCTGATCCCGGTGACCGACCCAGATTGGATCCTCCAGGTACAGTGGTTGTGGGCTAAGAAGGGATCAAGAACGGGCAATTAATTTTCTCAAAGGGCCACATGAGAAACGGAGAGGAACAAAATTGGAAAAGATTCCGACAGATGAGAATGTGAAAATATTAGAACATGCAGAAATGAATAGGTTAACACTTGCAATTAAAGAAAAGGGACAAACGGAATATTATATGACATGGGAATTATTTTATCAATGGCTGGAGAATAAAAACGGAAACTAGAAATTAAAGAAGACTAGCGAAAAACGTGAATAAGAATTAAATATGCTAAGAAGGGGATTGTTATAATAATTAGATATCTTATGCGTTAGTAATATAAAGTAAGAATAGAGTACTGATATTATACTAATGAGTATGTGTTCATTGTAATTGTTATTGCACAAGATATTTGTACCCAAATGACACACTGTTTAAACAGGAGAGGGATTGTTTGCATAAAATAAAATAAATTTAGAGAGAGAGAGAGAGAGAGACTGAGACTGAGACTGAGACTGAGACTGAGACGCCAAACCAATATCTCCCAGGTCCATTCTGCCTGGAAGGCCGCACTTCGACTGTGGTGGCAGTGGGTGGCTGAGCCCAGGTCCCCTCACGCCATGACTGCTGCCTCCTCAGGCTGCGCCAGGCAAGGGACAAGTGCTGCCCAGGACAGAAATGACCTTTTCTCCTCATCCTCCTGCAGCTTCCAGCTGACCGAAGGAGCATATGGCAAATGTGCCGAGCTGGACCTGACTTGGCTTCTTCTTCCATCCACTCCCACGGCGTACTTATTTACATTTGATTTCTAATTTCCCTCTTTTTTTTAAAAAAAGGTTTTGTTTATTAGTTTATAATATACAATACAAAAATACAAAAGAAAATAGAAGGAAAATAAGGGAGGAAAAAGGGAAGGGAATAGTGTAGGGCAGTGATGGCTAACCTTTTCAGCTTGGTGTGTCGAAAATCGGGAAAAAGTGTAGCCTTCTTCGGGTCATGTGTCACTTCAAGAAATATCAATAATTTGGTTTATGACGGACTGGGCTGGGGTGATCACACAGGGCTGTGAAACTCGTCTCCCTGGTCTCAGGGCTGCAGGTGCAGGATGTGGGGATCGGAAGGCCACCTTACAGGGCTGTGAACCTCATGGATCTCCTTTCCTCCTGTAGCGTTCCTGAGGTAATGAAACTGACAAACCTCAGTTTATGGCGGTTAAAACTGGTTCTCTGCTGCAAAGATCTTGCGGCAGCGGTGACACCACGCCTCCACGCAACAAGCAGGGAGCAGGGATTGGAGCAGAGCACAGGCAGCCTCTAAATGTGCAGGTTTTCCCCACACCAACAGGCGTGTCAGTCAAAGTGCCTCGGCGTGTCACGAGTGACATGCGTGTCATAGGTTAGCCATCACTGGTGTAGGGCAAAGGGGACAAAGAAAGAAAAGGTGTTGACGTCTGACTCCCTTTGGTGCTGTCGAATAAGATAATAGCATCAAACCTCAACTTTTTATTTTTGCATAATTTCTATAATAACAAACCTATTAATCATCTGTAATGATTCTCAGTCATCCAGGTTATGGTTGTCCCAAAGGTGCTTTTTTTCAGGAGGCAATTGGACTTTCTTGTTTTTTCTTTTGAAGACATTTCGCTTCTCATCCAAGTAGCTATGCTGGCTGGAGAATTCTGGAAGTTGAAGTCCACAAGTCTTAAAGTTGCCAAGTTTGGAAATCTCTATTTTAGAGGGTTGTTGAAGCACTTGGAGGTTTATATGTGTCCTCAGGGTCACCTGAGTAGTGCTAATGGTTCCTGTAATCTGCAATTTTTGTGGAAATCCATTCATACCCCCAGAACATTCAAAGGGTGTTTATCCCAAAGTGCATAGCTAAAAGCTAAAAGATTTCTGAAGAAATGTCCTTGAAGAAAAAACAAGAAAGTTCAGTTGCCTCCCAAGAAAGCACCTTTGGGAAAACCTATTAATCAGCAAAACCCAAAATCGATTTGATTTCTAGTTTCCAATTGACTCACATGGGCCAGAGAGGGACAGCCAAAAGCCTAAGGCTGTAAAACATAGATAGTCCTTGACTTACAACAGTACACTTAGTGACCATTCAAAGTTACAGTGGCACTGAAAAAAAAGTGACTTGCAACCATTTATCACCCACATCCCCATGATCACGTGGTCAAAATTCAAACCACTTGCCGGCTGACTCACATTTATGACGATTTGCAGTGCCCTGGGGTCACGTGATTCCCCTTTTGCAACCTTCTGACAAGCAGAGTCAATAAGGAAGCGTGATTCACTTAACAGCCGTGTGACTGACTAATTGATTCACTTAACTGTGGCCAGAAGAGTGGTAAAGTTGGGCAAAATTGACTTAACAACTGTCTCCCTTAGCCACATAGATTTTGGGCTCAATTGTTGTAAGCCAAGGACTACCTGTATCGGGTCTAGGGTGGATGCTGGGTCCTCCGCATAGGCGCGCATAGCCGTAAAAGACACCTGCCAAGGTTACGACTGATGAACCCAACCAAGTCAGCACTCCGAGACGATCAGATTTCTCAAAGAACTGTTTTATTGAGTACATCATTTTCGGCACGCCTGAAAGCAAAACCAACTCTAAATATGCCCCGCGGTTTTCGTAAAGTTGAGAGAATTGGATGTTCCCCTCCCTCTTTGTCACAGGTCACATTGTCCAATCAGGTGTCCTGGCATCCCCCCCCCCCCCGGCAACTCCTTCTGTAGTCTCCAAACAGCCCCTGTTGAGATGACCTGGGTTCCCATCTGTTGTTATTGTCTGTTCTGACATTCCAAGCCTCTACGCCAGGGGTGTCAAGCTCGATTTCATTGAGGGCCACATCGGGGTTTTTTAATTATTATTTTTTTGGTCAATTGCTTACAAGATAATAGGTATAAGTAAAAACATAGTTATGAATACATGGATGGGTTGTGTTTGACCTGGGGGGGGGGGAAGGGCGTGGCCAGGGGAGGTGTGGCCAGCTCAACATCACTAATTGAGGCGCCGTTTTCGGCCCACGATGGCCTCCTGCAGCCCTCTGCCAGCCAAAATGGAGCTTTGGGAGGCTGCGCGCGGCCCGCTTGGGCTCCATTTTTGCTGGCAGAGGCACCGCAAGCTAGTCCTTCACTGTTTTCAGGGTGGGCCCACGGGCCAGATTGAAGCATCCCACGGGCCGGATCTGGCCCGTGGACCTTGAGTTTGACACCCTGCTCTACACACACACACACACACACAGACACACACACACACACTGTGGCAAGCTGAGAAACAAAAAGATGGCTGCAGCAGCTAGATGCGTTTCAAAGTAGACAGCACCTTCCTGAGCACCAGAGGCCACTGAATTTGGGGCCAGTCGCTCATCAAAGTTAACGCTGGCCTAACACTTTCGAATATACAAAATGCTTCGTGTGCATTTACGAAGTTATGAGCTCACCATCGTATAAAGAAAGCTGGCCTCATTCCCCCCCCCCCCCCCCCCAAATTACAAAGAGGAAGAAGCTCTTTGACAAAGTCCACCTGGTGAGTTCATGACTGTTGGCCCTGGTTTGAAATGGAGTCATCTTGATTTGCAAATCCTCCCCCCCCCACTTTAAAACCGTAAACAATAGATTTGGCATAATGACTTCTAAACTCTCTTCGCTTTGTTTTTGATCTCCGCAGCCGGAGGTGCAGGAGGGCCCAGAGAATTTCCTCTTCTGATCGCCCAGTTTGACATTTTTCTCCCTATTTCCTTTCAGGTCATATACTGTTCTTTTGGTGGCACATCGAAAGGTCTACATTTCAATAACCTGATCGTAGGCTTAGTCCTGCTGACAAGGGGCCGAGATGAAGAGAAAGCCAAATGTAAGTATCAAGTTATTGCTCAAGCAGCTCATGGCTGTCCCATGGTGGCTTTTCCCAAAAGGCAGCTGGATTTTCTTGCTTTTTTTTCCTGTGAAAACGTTTCCCCTTCTCATCCGAGAAGCTTCCTCAGTTCCGAACTGAAGAAGAACTGAGAAAAGAAGAACCGAAGCAGCTTTTTAGATGAGAAGGGAAATGTTTTCAAAGGGGAAAAAAAAAAACCAAGAAAGTCCAGTCGACTTTTCAAAAAAAAGCACCTTTGGGATAAGTATCAGTCATGTTTGGAAGAGAGAAAAGGCACAGGGAGACGGGTGGCCCAGCTCAGCTGGAATTTTCACAATTGTGTAGCTGAGTTTGCCTGAAATGGTATAGGGTTTCCTGTCTTAGTGGTGGGTTGGACTAGAAGACCTCCAAGGTCCTTCCAACTCTGTTATTCTATTCTATTCTATTCTATTCTATTCTATTCTATTCTATTCTATTCTATTCTATTCTATTCTATTCTATTCTATTCTATTCTTATTCCACTCCGCTCCACTCCATTCTTCTTATTCTATATTCCTATTCTCTATTCCCTAGTCTTATTCCTATTCTAATTTCAGTTTAGAGTCTGGCTGAAAAGCATCACCCCCTTAGACTTCTGACACCAAAATGAATCCTTGTCAAACCTGCCATCCCAACTGCACCCAGCCCTGCTTAGCCAGATGCCAGGCTGTCATGAGTAAAGGAGAGGGGGAGGAGGGACCTGTGGGGTAGGATGAAGAGGGGCAGATCAAAGAAACCGACAGATCTAGACATTGCTTGTGATACTTATTTTACATAAAGGCCCATGCCCTTTGCAGCGGAAATATCGGATGATTTTAAGAACAATTGTATAGATGTTTTGTAAAAAAATGATTTTAGGAGTATAACCATTCCTGTTTCTTAAAATGATGTGAAATAATGGACATCACCAGCTCTATCACAATTTCTGACTTGCGCAGAAATACTTATTTTGCTCTGTGTACATGGCTTTGTCTTCTCTCTTAGATATTTTCAGCCTATTTTCCAATGAATCTGGGAGTCATGTTGCCCGTGAAGAGATGGAGAGGATGCTTCTCATAATTGATGGAAAAGTCCCTGAATGCCTAAAAAAATGCTTCTCGGAGGTAATTCCTGACGATTATCCACTTTCTATTTAATACTGCATTCATTTTCCCCCTCTCAAAAGTATCATTATTCTGCCTTGATATCAGTCTCTTTTTAACGATGCTAATTTTGGTAATACTGTATTAATTTTTTTTAAAAAAATGTAATGCATTAAATCATATCACTGTATTAAATCGTATCACATACTAATTTTAAATACTGCTCCTGAAAATCAGTTGGTAATAGCTTGAGAGACAGTCTAACTGAAGCAGGCCCTGCTGTCACCTGGCCAACACATCCCTTGTTCCATTTTTAAATAAATATTTACTTTGGCTGTGCTTCATGTATTGTAGAGAATGCCTTTGATTTAACAGGCGTTGGTTTAATGCTCCTTGTTTTTAAGAGGTTAAATATGTGTCATAAGGGTTTGAAGTGGCAAGGACAGGAGGGAAAGGGCTAGGAGGTTGGGGATCTACCTAGTTTTATAAGCCATAAAAAAGCAGCAAAGAAGTAAGGGAGAAATTATACAGGTCGTCCTCACTGAACACAATTGAGCCCCAGATTTTTGCTTACTGTAATTTCAACAGAGGACGCCTGTAATTTCAAAACTCCACCCCAAAAGGAAGACCCAGATCGTATCTTTCTGCAAACAGTTATGGGATACAGGTAGTTCTCAATTTACAGCCATTCATTTAGCGACTGTTGAAATTTGCAACGGCAGTGAAAAAACTGGCTCACGACCAGTGTAGCTTGGCAACCAGCATGTATTTATGACGGCGGCAGGGTCCCAGGGTCATGTGCTCGATCTTTGCGATCTTCAGTGGGGAAGCCAGATCCACTTAACAACTGTGTTACTAACTTGACAACTGCAGTTTATTCACTTAACGACTGTGGTGTCAGGTCTGCCCAAGAAAGAAAATCCCCCAACTCCAATGGGGATAGAGAAGAGGTGCTTTGACTGAGTTGGAAATGATTGCAGCGCAGGCAAGGCAAGATCTGATTCAAAAGGCGCGAAAGTTACAGATTGAAAGTTTCCCCAAACCCCCCCCCCCCCAGGGTCCAGCGCTGAGGGTCCAAACGATGCCCAGTATAATGTTGTGTGAAGCTCATCTTCAGGTATTTTGCCCATCTGGAGTCCGAGGATGGTTGGCCTTGACAGGGTGTAAACAACTCCACTCAGCAGCACAGTCTTTCTTGAGAGCAAACCTCCCTTTCAGTTCACATGGGATCTCACCTCACCAGCTCACTTCCCCATTCAGATTTAATAAATAAGTCCTGAAGTGCAATTGTTGGGTTTCTGGTGGACATCCTTTGCACACCCTCTGGACTTGGGGCTCATTAAAATTCTGTCCGTAAAAAGCAGCAGGAGGGAATTGGCATATCTGAGGATTAAAATCCTGCAAAGCCTGTCAGTCTCTCCCCTTATATCGTCAATCTAATTTGATGCGATGTGTGTTGAAAGCTGATCAGAAACAAATACTCTTCCCTCAGCCCTTGGGAAAGGTTCAGTCAGGATGTTAGACGACATGCTGCTGTTGTTCTTCAGGGGTTTTTATTTAAAACAAATAAAAACAACAACAACCACCCTGTTATACCATCCAGATGTTTCAACAACCTCTCAAGATTATTTATTTATTTTTTATTTATTTATTTTTTATTTTTGTCAATTGCTTACAAGATAATAGGTATAAGTATATACATAGTTATGAATACATGGATACATATAAGAAAAATAAAAAATATATATAAAAGAAGCAATAGGACAGGGACGGTAGACACGTTGGTGCGCTTATGCACGCCCTCTACAGACCTCTTAGGAAAGGGGTGAGGTTGATAGTAGACAGTCTAAGGTTAAAGTTTTTGGAGTTTGGGGAAGAAACCACAGAGTCAGGTAGAGTCTTCCAGACATTGACCACTCTGTTGCTGAAGTCGTATTTCCTGCAATCAAGTTTGGTGCAATTAACCTTGAGTTTGTATCTATTGTGTGCTCTTGTGTTGTTATGGTTGAAGCTGAAATATTCATTGACAGGTAAGTCATTGCAATGTATGATTTTATATACCATACTTAGATCAGACCGAAGGTTTTCTAGGTCTAGAATTTCGAGTCTGGTGGCATAAGGTACCACCTGCAACGAGTAGAGGAGAACTCTTTTTGTGAAATATTTCTGGACTTTCTCAACTGTGTTAATATCAGATACGTAATGTGGGTTCCAGACTGCAAATATTTTGTACGCTGTAATTATTAGTGTAATATTACCAGAGAAAAAGCTATGTAAGATTAGGTTAACAACTCTTAATGCCTTTTTGGCTATGTAGTTACAGTGGGCTCTAGCACTTAGGTCATTTGAGATGAGAACTCCAAGGTCCTTGACAGAGTTTGGATCATCAACAACGTCTTGACTATTCAGCCTGTATTTTATTTTCTGACTTTTTTTTGCCAATATGTAAGACAGAGCATTTATTTGTTGAGATTTGAAGTTACCATTTGTTTGACCATCCTGATACATAGTCAAGGTCTTTTTGAAAGGTAGCAGTATTGTCTGTGGTGTTGAATAGCTTTACATCATCAGCAAAGAGAACACAGTTGCTCTTGATATGATCACAGAGGTCATTTATGTAGAGTATGAAGAGAGTTGGTCCTAGAATACTGCCTTGGGGGGACACCATTGTTGACAGGTACAGAATTTGATAGGACGCTCCCAATTTTGACCATTTGTTGTCTGTTTGACAGGAATGCTTCTATCCAGTTATGCAGTTGTCCAGAGATACCATAAGATTTTAGTTTTAGGAGTAGTTGGTCGTGTACCACTGAATCAAAGGCTTTACAGAAGTCTATGTAGATTGCGTCTATTGCTTTGCCCTGATCGAGTTGTGTAGTCCATATGTTTTTGCAGTGCAAGAGTTGCAGATTGCAGGATAGTTTTTTTCTGAAACGAAATTGTTTATTAGAGAGTAGGTTGTTTGTCTCTAAGTGGAGGGTAATGGATTGGTTAATAATTGATTCGTGACTTTACAGGTGACGCAGCATAAGGAGATTGGACTGTAATTTTCAACTAGGCTGTGGCTTGTGACCATAGGTTAGGCAAGGAGCTGGTCCTGAAAGATTTTTCAAAGATTATGTTTAGAGGTTTGGCTATGGCAGTAGATAGCTTTTTTAAGAAGTAGGCACATATTCCATCCGGTCCAATAGATAGAGATGGTTTTGGATTGCGTAGTGCTTTTTCAACATTGTCTTCTGTAAAATCGATATGTATTAGATCATTGTAGTTGTCTGTTGTTCGACTAGGAAATACTGGGCATGATCCATTGCTGTTTACAAATACTGAACAAAAGAATGTGTTAAAGAGGCTGGCTTTAATAGTGTTGTTGTTGCAGTCTTTACCATTAGGTCCTTTCAGGGGTGGGATGGACCTTGAGTCTTTTAGTTTGTTGTTTACAAAATTGTAGAAAGCGCGGGTGGAATTTGTGCATAGGTTTTCCTCTTGTTTAATGTGATAATTGGTGCATTCAGTTTTTATCTGGTGGCATAAATTTTTGTATCGGCTTTTGAAGTTGGCAATGTTACCAGATTTGTTTTTCTACCAAAGTGATTTTCTTTTTGGATTGAAGCTTCTTTATTGTTATGGGTAATTTGTTTTTTTCTGGTTTTAGGAGTTGTTAATGGTACATATAAACAAGTAAAAATATGTTGTAATAGTCTTCTACAGTATTGCATCCAGAGAATAGAAATTGTCAGTCAAGGGATATCGTTGTTTATAAGACCATAGTTGCCTTTTTTGAAGTTATAATTGGGGATTCCGTTGTTGTGATGATTTTTGTGTGGACGTATGTTGAGACAAAAGTCAATCATGTTGTGGTCACTGTTGGAAAAGGGTTCTTTAATTTGTATTCCATAAATTGAATTCAAATTATTGCAGAAGATGAGATCGAGGCAGTTTTTAAGTCTAGTGTTGTTGGTTACTAGTTCTTCTAGTCCCAGATTTGTTACTGCATTGTAGAAGGTTGCATGTGTGGGTTCAGTTGTACATTCGTTAAGGGTCCAGTTAATATGAGGTAGATTGAAGTCACCAAGAAAGATAAAAGTGTGTGGAGAGGATGTTGCCCATGTTAGTAGTGTATTTAGCTTGTTTGCATGTTCGATGTCATAATCAGGGGCCCGAAATGTGATATTTAAGGACAGTTCACAGACTATGGTCTCAGGAAGAGCAAGCTCCTGGGTAACTTGGATGTTTTTTAGATGTAGGGACTTTTTATAGAAGATAGCAACACCACCTCCTCTATGGATTACACGATCTGATTGGTAAACATGATAGTCTCACTGTGGTAATGGAGTCGGGGAGAGATGTATATATTTTTAAAAAATATCTGCCAATAAAGGAGAATACCTGTAGCTCAGAGTTGACATGAGGAGTCCTTGGTGCTCCCTGAGTTTGCTTATTTTCTTGCAGACGTTTCATGACCCAACTAGGTAACATCATCAGTGCTAGTAAGTATGTACCAGTACTCTTGATGTTTGGGTAATAAAACATCTGCAAGAAAACAGGCAAGCTCAGAGACCATTAAGCCCCCCTCAAAAAAAATCCCAGGGCACGTATATTTGCCTTCATTTGTACAGGATATAAGTCTAGGCTAAAAGAGATGAAAGGAAAATTCAGTAATAAAATATGTACATGGTACAAAATAAATAAATAAATCACTATCCGGGTAAATACATTGTGTACACACACACACACACACACACACACACACACACACACACACACACA